TGTGTGTGTGTGTGTGTGTGTGTGTGTGTGTGTGTGTGTGTGTGTGTGTGTGTGTGTGTGTGTGTGTGTGTGTGCGTGCGCGCACGTGTGCGTGCGTGTGTGAGTGCTTGTTTGGGGACAGAGGGTGCGTGGTGTGGCGTGGTGGTAAGGACCCTGCCAGGCGCGGGATCGAAAGCGGAGCTCCCACGACGTCGCACTGCAGCCCGCGTGCACAGAAAGCCCCCCAACTAGCCGATGGCCCGCATGCAAGCCTGCAACCTCGCCTTCACGGCTCAGCCCTGCAAGCCCTGTTTCCCAATCAAGCAGGCCCACAGCCGTCGCATTTGAGGCCTTCTTGCATGCACGCGCCTGCATCTGCCGCAGGTCCACCCCAAACACGCGCCGCCAGCTGATCTCCAGCCGCTGCCGCCGCAGCCGCACGTGCCGCGACGCACGGTCCTCCGCCTGTGCACGTGGCAAAACGCGATGCACGCGTGTGAGCTTCCCAGCTCTTCCGCGCACAACCCTGAAGCCCGACAGCCGAGCCCGTCAATTGCAGGCAGAAGCGCATAGCACGCAGTCCGCCCCCGCAGTATGCGCCCGGCCCAGCTGGCAAACACGCGGCTGCCAGCCCCTCAAGCTGCCTGGAGCCGATCCCTTGCAATGAGCCCCTCACTTCCAAGGCCTCGAGGGCCGCAGCATGATTTGTGTCTGCAGCCTCAAGCGCGCCCCTATGCCGCCGGACCAGCGCCCAGAGATCGTCGACCGCGGCTGCCGCCGCTGCTGACGCGCCGCCCTCGCCTCCGTCGCTGCTATTGCCGTCACCACTTGCCGCTGAATTGCGCCCGGAACGCTGGTGGCTGTGCGGCTGCAGCTGCAACAGATGGTCGAGCAGCTGCCCGCCGGCTTCCAAATAAGAGGTGGCAGCTGCCTTCCAGCTGCAACAGCAAGCCAAATGCAGGCAGGCAGGGGTGACGCAGCTCGGTGATGCAGACACACTCCAACACCCGCATTAAATTTAGTACCGGGCGAGTACGCCGTCTATAGCTGTTTGCCAGGGATTTAGACAGGCGCAGGCGACTGCTTGCAGGCAACACGGTTCTCAAATCTGCGCACCTGAGCACTGCGGCGCCCGCCCTAGCATATGCCGCATACAGCCGCACGTGGCAGTCCCGCAGCTGCCACAGCCATTCCACTGCTAGCTGCAGCAGAGAAAGGACCTGTGGTAGGGCATGGCAGGGGAGTATCGAACGCGTGTGCAATGGTGAAAGTCCTGCTAGAGCAGGAGCCATCACTATCTGCAGTTGCCTCTTGCAACTGTATGCCGCCGCCAAGCTTGCCCCAAACAGCAAACGAGTTGTGTGGGACCAAAGCGGTCGAAGAAAGATGTTGTTGCACGCATCCGGGGCCTGCTGACCTGGAGGTGGTTTTGGGGGGCTGTGTTTGGCTCTGCCCAGGGGTCGCCCTGTTGCAGGGCCGGCAGCGCTGCCTCGAGTGCTGCAACGTTCGCACGGCGTGCCTGCATGCATGGCGGGAGGGTCGCAATAGTGTGGTGTGCAGATGGGGTTGCGCATGTGCGTGCATGCGTGGCGAAGCACACAATTGGCGCGAATGCGCAGCCCCCCTTGACCCCTGGTTGACCACTCACCACATCGTCAGCATCGATGCCATGCAGTAGCCTCCAATTAAATCCCGCGATTCGAGAAGTGAACGCGAAGCCCCGTAGGTCCACACGGGCCCATATGTCTCCTACTCGCGTTGCTGGTGAAGGGGAGCTGGCTCGCATGGTGCTCGCGGTTGAAGATCACAGATACATGACTGTATTACGGTTGTTGGGAATCTGGGGGCTACAGATCGCATGCCAGGTGCAGCTCGCTTGATCCAGCAAAACATGAATCCGCGAAAACGGTGGAGATGTATCAGGTGCAAAAATAGGCGAAGAAGAGATGCAAGAAGCAACAGAAGAAGCCAACGCCACGACCGCCGCCGCTCGTAGTCCGCAGACACTGCTGTCAAGGCGCCACCGCCACTGTGGGTGCCGGCAGGTTGTCGATGGTGATCGGCTGCAGATCAGGCGAGTACGTGGCGTTGAAGCCCAGAACCTGCGCATGAGGCGGAAATGGGTTGAGGAGCAGTCACGTTCATATGTGAGACACACCATATCTTGCCCCGCAAGGCCTGGTTCTGAAGCACGGATGATGGCCTGCATGCAGCCCCTCGCGGCCGCAAAGCAACAATCAACCACACGCAAATTTGCGGAGAGACATGTCACCTGGACGCACCGACAGCGCATGGGCCCGCAGCGCCCCGCTCGCTTCGGCACCCCGCCGCCAGCACGCCTATCGCCAGCACGCCCTTGCCGCAGGACAGCAGACAATCGCCGCCCCATGACAGCACAAGGCCCGTGACAAGCCCCTGCTCATATGCCACGCCTTGGCATCGGCCCCAACACGGTACCATCCCTGAAACCAACAGTGCCCCCAGCCCAGCCCCACCCACCTTGCCGTAGAAGAAGAGCTCGCCCTCCAGCGCGGAGCGTATGGCTGCCGCACTCCTGAAGCCGTGCTGCTCCCCCTTGTACATGACAAGGGCGGTGGGGACCTGTTTGGGTGATGTGTTTGTTGGGGTAAGGGTCATGGTCAGAGGGATGTCGCGAGTTCAACAGATGGGAGGTTGAAGGTCTCGAGGCTGTGTGTGTTTGTGTGCACAAGTGTGTGCAGGGTGCAAGCATGCGTGTGTCTCGGTGTATGTGTGCGTGTGTGTGTGTGTAAGTATGTGTGTCCGTGCTTCTGCAGCGCGTATGTGTGTGTGTGTGTGTGTGTGTGTGTGTGTGTGTGTGTGTGTGTGTGTGTGTGCGTGCGCCTGTGGGGTGGTGTTAGGGGCACGTGTGAGAGAGGGAGAGTTCATGATGCGTCCAAGTTGCGTTTTCTTCCATCAGCGCCGCTGACTTGCAGGCGTCTGCCGTTGACACCAGCTCAACGTACAGTACGTGATCAAGGGAGCCCAGGCAAGGACCATCGGGTCACATAGCTAAGTGGGTGCGGCCGGGGGAGCCCATCCCCAACGTCAAAAAATGGGGAGCAGCAGCAGGTCCAGGCTCCTAGGTTTGCTACATATCAATGCCTGCTTCCCCAGTGCGTAAATGACTATGCGTGCGGCAGCATTCAACCACGGGGCAGCGCGGGGGCCGCATCTCATAAGTCAGGTGCAAGTTTTTCGGTTTCACTGGCTTGGCTCCAGGGCCACCCACCCCTCTGTCGAGCAGGGCCTTGTGCATGACCTCAGCCTGCTCTGGGGGGACCACCTTGTCCTCGTCACCCTGGGGCGGCGACGCGGCGGTTGAGGGGGGGCAGGATAAGGCGAGTGAAGGAGGCACAGCGTGTGTGTGGTCGTGCTTGCATCGTGTGGTCGTGCATGCATGTGCATGTGTGCTGTGCCAGTTGTGTGTGGGTGTACATGTGTGTGTATATGTGGGTGTGTGTGCACCACACACACTCCTTCTGCTCCCCCTTTGCTTGTTGCTCCCCCTTTGCTTGTTACAACCCTTTGCAGTTGTGTGTCACCTGGAACAGCGCAACGGGCGCCTTGATCTTGTCTGCGGCGTGGATGGGTGACCTGGCGATGTACACGTCCTTGGCCTTGGGGTAGGGGCCCATCAGGCCGTCAAGGTAACTGCCAGCGGGAGGTTGCAGACAACATTTTTGAGTGGTTAGGCCAACGGCGGCAGGGGGTGGGGCTGCAGCGTTCACCTCGGGGGTGAAAAGGGTGATCATGTTTGGGGTGAGCGGTGTGCATGTTCTAGTAATAGTAATGGTTGCATTTCAAGGGGTGTGTATGAGGGGCGTAACTGTGACGCTCTGATTGCAGGCAGGGGGTTCAGCTGATCGGCTTCAAAGGTCGAGCTCGCCAGTGCCGCGCCTGCAGCCCCCTTTACTCAACGGGAACGAAAAACCACGATTCTCCCCATCACCCACTCCACAAACATGCACAACGCACCGTGCGCGGTCACTGCTCCACAGCGCAGCGGCATGTTTGGCAGCACCCACCGTGACTCGAATTTGTGGGTGTGTGCTGCCAGCAGCTCCGCGTCTGCCACCCCATAGTGGCTGGCCCCAGCACTGAACACGTCCCTTTGGTTTGATTGAAAGTTGGCGCACAAATTGTGAGGATGTGGAGCAAGTCAGGGACAAGGGGCGCGTGAGGGGGGTGGAGGGCGGGCTGAGAGATGTGGGGGCGCGGTGTGCCGAGAAAAGGCCTCCGCCCCGGCCCCGGCTGGTCCATTGCATGCATGGACACACACACACACACACACACACACACACACAAACACACACACACACGCTCACGCGCCGCGCAAACAACGTTCTCGCAGTCGTTCCGCGCTCTCTTCTTTACCGCCCGCCTTGTCGACTGCGCCTCTGCATCCTTCTTAAAAACACAAACACGCATGCGGCGCGTGCGCAGGGCTGCCAGTCCCCCCCACCTGAAGGCCAGGCAGGCGAGCGTGGTGTACCCGCCTGCGCTGCCGCCGTCGATGCAGAGGCGG